AGCACTGAGGCACTCATCTCTGCCAAGAAATTTGGAAGACAGCTCTTATCTGGCCAACTGATTGGAAGAGATCCAGATTTGTGCCCATTCCAAAGAGAGATGACCCAGTAGAATGTGGAGGTCATCGGATAATATTAATATCACATGCAAGTAAAATTTTCCTAAAGATAATTTTAAAATGGCTGCACCAGTACGTTGACAAGGAACTGCCAGAGGTTCAAGCCGGATTCTCACAAGGAGGTGGAACAGGCGATACCATTGCTGATGCCAGATGGATCTTGGCTGAGAACAGAGAATACCAGAAAGATGCTTACCTGGCTTTATTGACTATGCAACACCTTTTGACTGTGTGAATTATAACAGGTTATGGATAACATTGTGAAGAATAGACAGTCCAGAACATTTAACTGTATTAATGAGGAACCTGTACATAGACCAAGAGGCAGTTGCTCAAACAACAAGGGAATACTGAATGGTTTATAATCAGAAAAGGTGTGTCCTAGGGTTGTAATCTTCCACCATTCTTATTCAATCTGTATGATGAGCAAAGAATCCCAGAAGCTGGATTATATAAAGAACGTGGCAGCAGGATTGGTCCATTTCTTCTTTGTTATGGGTCTGTTAAAATTTTCTACTCTGATTGCATTAGTTTGGGTTGGTAATATTTTCTAGAAATTTATTAATTTCTTCTAGGTTTTCAAATTTGTTGGAGTATGGTTCTTGATGGTTGGTATCCTTTTATTATTTTTATTTCGCTTGGTTCTGTTGTAACATCACCTATTTAATTTCTTATCCATGTTATTTGCATCATCTTCTTTTTCTTTTTCAAATTTGCCAGTTAACAATCCTTTCAAAGAACCAACTTGGGGCCTTACTGAATCCTCTATTGTTCTTCTGTTTCTTTTATTTTCTGTTCAAACCTTTAGTATTTCCTTTCTTTTGATGTCTGTTAGGTGCTGTCATCCAGTAGCAACCATATCCACAACACAACACACACTTGCCTGGTCCTGTTCAGTCCTCACAATTGTTTGACGCCATTGTTTCTGCCACTTTGTCAATCTGTTTTGTTGCAGGTCTTCCTCTTTTTCCTCCAGCCTCCACTTTATCAGCATGATGTCCTTCTCCAGGGACTGATTCCTCCTGGTAACATGTCCAAAGATGAGAGATTAACCCTTGCCATCCTTACTTCTAAACAGCGTTCTGACTGTACTTCATCCAAAACAGATTGGCTTCTTCTACTGGCAGGCTAGGGCACTTTCAATAGTTTTTGCCAACACCATAACTCAATTGTATTCATTCTTCTTCAGTCTTTCTTATTCGTTGTCCAACTTTCACATGCATTGAAAATACCATGGCTTGAGTCAGGGGCACCTTAGTCCTCAAAGTGACTCTAAAGAGGTCTTTTTGCAACACATTTGTCTAATGCAATATGTCATTCGATTTCTCTACTGCAACTTTCATGACTGTTAATTGTGGATCCAAGCAAAATGAAGTTTACAACGTTAATCTTTTCTCTGTTTATCACATTATTTATTGGTGACTAGATTTTTTTTTTGCCCCTAGTTGTATAGATGATGGTTTTAGGTGTTGACTTCGGTTCTTTATTTCTTTCCTTTTTTGATATGTACACTGACTGCTATTAATAGTCCCCTGAGCGCTGCTTTTACTATGTCCCAAAAGGTTTCCATATGTTGTATTTCCATTTTCATCTGATTCAAGGAATTAAAATGTTTTCTTCTAATTACCCAGTAGTTTTAAAGCAGGCCATTAATTCCGTTTCCAGGTATTTGATTCCCCCCCCCCTTTTGATCTTCCTGTTGATTTATAATTTTATAACATTATAATCTCCGAGGATGCTTTGTAGTATTTTGATGTTTTTAAGTTTATTGAGGCTTTTTGGTGGTGGTGTTATTTTTGGTGCCCAGCTGATTTTTACATTGTTACCATTAGACCTTTTATTTTGCAATCATTGCAGATTCATATGCAGTTGTAGGATACCAAGAGACCCAGTTTCTCCCGGTGGTGGTAATATTTATGCTGTAGGCTGCCCTCACATCAGACCCTGGCTCAGGGCTGCTCCACAGAACATCTCCTTAGGGTTTCTTGTCTGTAATCTTACAAAAGCAGATTTCCAGGTCCTTGATTCCAGAAAGCCATTGGGTGCGTTCGAACCACCAACCTTTCGGTTAGCAATGGATTGCAAGATGCTTGTAGCATTGTGTAAAACTGTAGTACACTGTGACAGCAAGACATTGGCACAATCAAGACTCTCCAGCCCACAAAGAGCCCCCTGTCACCTTGCATAGTCCCCTCTCCATGCCCCTTACCCCTCAGACCCTCCAAACCACTGACCAGCTCTCCAACTCTGCTTGTAGCTGTCATTTGGAGATGGCTGTGCATCATCTGCTGGGCTAGCTGCTTCCCTGTAGCCTAACTCTGGAGATCCACCTGGTACTCGCCTGTGTCCATGCTTCCTGTCTCTTCCTGCTCAGCAGTGTTCCCATTTGTTGGCATCAGTTTTCCGTCTGTCTGCTGCCCCCTGGTGGTCAGATCCACGTAGGACCTGGAGGATAGAGTCCCAGAACTCAGGGACTCTGGATGTACAAACCCAGGGGGAGGGTCCTTCCAGAACCTGAAGGACACAATCATGAGCCCACACCACTTTTACATCAGCCTGAACACAGGAAACCCACTTCTCAACCCAGCTGACCTGGGCTGCTGCTGCAAACCTAGTGCTAAGAGGGGAAATCAAGGCACAGAGAGTGAGAGTAGGATCAGCCCTACATCCAGAGCTGTCCTGCACCCAGGTGCTCGCACCTTTGCTTACGTGCTTCTGCATGAACACTCAGTGCTGTTACAACTTGGGGTTGGGGCAGATGGAGGAGGGAGGCTAGTGGGGGGCTGAGTGGCAGAGTCAGGGAGGGGAACTTGGGGAGGTGGCCTGGACAGGACTCTTATGGTTGGACCAAGTTGTTGCAGCAGGTGGACATGTAAGGAAGTGAGCAGCAGGTACCAAACTTCAGGTGGGAAAGGAGCTGGGGTCACAGGGAAGGAGGACAGGCATTCTCTGACTCAGGTGCATGGAGGAGTGTATGGGGCTGTTCGGAAGGGAAATGTGAGTGCATGGAGAAGGTGAGCAAACCCTACTGGTGGGGAGTGTCTGGGCAGCATTAACCTGAGGCCAAGGCAGCCTTTGAGCAGCCTGGCCTGTCCAGCTGGGGCCCTATGATGAGGAGGCAGGAAGGGTGTGGGACATGGGGTTGAGGTGGTGATGCTCCCTCTAGCCCCTCTCTTGCTGTGATCTCCCTCAGACACTCTAGACTGGTCACCTGGAGGAAGTTGGGCATTTCTTGTGGTCAGGTTCTCACCTACCCACACTAGGTTCCTGCTAGAAAGTGTCCCTGCTTTGTCCCATTCTCCAAGAGTGTCCTGTTGACCCAAGTCTGGGAACAGGGTACAGGGTGGGACAGGTCCCTCATCCTGCCCTGATTGGCCACCTCTGGATGTACCCTGTGGCTCTGAGGGATAGATGGACAAGAGTCTCTAGAAGGAGCCTGGTACTACCAGGTGCACAGGTGGGTGTCTCCTTGCAGTCACAGGAGAAAGGAGTGGCCCCTAGGAGGCAGAAGTGGGTCCCGGGAGGGAGAAGTGACCAGGGTGTAGAAACTGACAGACTCATCCCTGGGGGAATCTTTGAAAGTTTGGTTGGGGATAAGCCAGCCCAGGATCCCTCTGTTCTCTCCACATAGTGCACTTTAAAAGAAATAAAATACTTTCATTTTCGGAGTACTTTTAGGTTCATGGAAACAATGTGCAAAAAGTACAGTGTTCATATTAATTTCCCTTGTTGACATCTTGTATTTGTGGTATATTTGCTGTAATTGACTAATCGATATTGATACATTGTTTTCAATTGAAGTTTGAGTGATGGTTCACTCTCCTGTACAGTCCTGTGCGATTTGAGTTCATTTGTTACAATTGATGGACTAATATTGAGACATTGTTATTAACTAAAGAACACAGTTTACATTGGGAGTCTCTCTTTATTTCATAGTTCTGTGAGTTCTGACAAAAGCTTAGAATCCTATGTCCACCATTGCCTGTTCTCCCCCTAGTCAGCCCTCCCCCTGAGCTCCTGACAACCATCCATCTCACTGTCATTGTAGTTTTACCATTTCCAGAACATTCCACAGAAGGCTTTCCTCCGCATGTGCCCCCAGGAGTCCCTAGAACACATTTCAGAAAGAGTTCAGCTTCTGGGTTGGAATTTTCCACCTGTTTTGATGGGCAAGATAGGAAAGGGCATCAGGGCGCTGGTCAGTGTGGGCTGTGGATGGAGGGTGTATGGGTTTGTGCATCATGTGAGCATTGGCCCCGTGGAGTGGCGGTCAGGTGGCAGGACTGTGGAGCGGAAGAGTGCGGCCTCCTTGGATTCCCCTTTTCTGTGAGTGTTCTACTGCTTGGGCAGGACTCTGGGTCCCCAGCACATGCCCCGCCTACACAGGCACCTCCCTGTGGCTTTGGTGACCAGCCCCATTTGAGGCCCCTCCCTAAGTGGGTTCAACCTGGGAGCCAGATCTGGAAGCCTGGTTCCTACCAGCTGGGGACAAGATCCTGCCTGCCGAGAAAACATTAAGGTTGAGGAGGGAGGGGGGTGCTGTTGAATGATGGACTGAGGGTCTCAGGACCCCTCTGCACACCCCCAGTCTGAGCACTAACCTGGAGGTGGCCACGGGATGTGGGCTTCGCCAGCCAGAAACCTTTGAAGTGACTAAGGGTGGGCATCACTGTTCCCAAGCCCTCTGCCAGTTGGGACGCGGGCCTAGGAGTGCTCACTCGGAGGAGTGCCGTCCCACCGGCCCTTCCAGTTTCTCCTTGGCACCATTGGGAGTTTCTGGGGGGCATGGTGGCTTCACTCTGGCTCCTCCTGTGCCAGGGCTGCTGTTGGGCCTGGTGAGGTGTGGGTTCAGTGGTGCAGCCGAGCGCGGCCCACGGGAAGCATGGAACCCTTCCTCAGGAAGCGGCTGACCTTCCTGTCCTTCTTATGGGACAAGATCTGGCCAGTGGACCTGCCCGATGACTGTGGACCTCGGGCCTTGGACATAGAGCCTGATGAGGCAGAGTCCCCGGATGCTGAGGCGCCCTGTGCTGAGCCTGGTGGTCCTGCGGCACCCCCGGAGCAGCTCTTCATGGCTCTGTGCGACTTCAGCGCTCGATGTGCAGACGAGCTGAGTGTCAGCCGAGGGGACCGGCTCTTCGCCCTCAAGGAGGAGGGTGACTACATCTTTGCCCGCAGACTCTCGGGGCCACCCAGCACAGGGCTCGTACCTCTCACCCACGTCACCAAGGCCCCACGGAACGTGCTGTCTGACCAACCGTAAGTACCATAGCCTGGCTCATGTGGGTGGGGGGCCCTGGAGCTGGCCTGCTAGGATTAGGGTTTGAGTATGCGCACTGCAAGTCAGTGCCTGCTTTGGGACACGGTGGTGAGAAAGCAAATGGGTGGGATGCAGGGTCACATGTGTCCCTGTGTGGTGGTGCTGTGGCTGTGGTCACTATAAGGGAAGCAGCAGGACATGGCTCACAGCACCTCCTAGGTGTACCAGTGAGACGCGTCCCTGCACTGGGCCCTCCTGCCCCCCACTGGATCCATCCCTGCCACTGGACCTTGGGTACCTTTCTCTAGCCATGAGGGTACAAGCAAGCAGAAATGAGTGCTGAGCGAGACCCACAGCTTGGCCTCTTGGGTCCAGGCAGGACTCAGATAAACAGAAGTCCCCCTTTATGCTGTGTGTGTGTAGTGGGGTGAATATGACAGGCGGGCAGAGGGGGATCCAGTTGGGATTAGAGGCGCCACCCTAAACTGGCCCAGGTCTGTAGGATTGCTCCAAAGAGGCTTTCTTGGGGAGTGACCACAGGTTGGGAGAGTCCATTCATTTGCCCAGAGCTCCTGGGCCTCCAGGATGAGACAAGGTGGGGAGGGGGCTGCACTGGGGACAACCTGTGGTCATGGAGAATGGGGGCTGCTGTGGAAGGTGTAACTTGTTCCCAGGTCCTCACTGAGCCACCTGCTCCCTCAGATGTACCTGAACTAATCCCAGGACCAAGGCCTCTACCTGCCTTTCCTTTAAATGGTTCCGGCTGCCTGATCTTGGACTTTGAGGAGTTGAGGATGCAGGTCCCCGTGTGGCGCATGATGGCCGCTGGGCAAAATGACAGACACAGGCTGGCCCCTTTCTCTGCCTAACCTCGTCTCCATCCTACGTCCTCTGGGTCAAGCTTTGTGCGCTGGGCTGACCACCTGTAGACCAACATCTCCTCGGGGTCACCTTCAAGCCTCCTAGGGGCCACGGGACACTACAGGAGGGGCCTTTGGAGCTGAGTGGGGGTCACTCAGACCCCGTGAGCGGTTCCTGGAGATGTCAGGGTGTACTGCTGCTCTTGGTGGGGTGGGGTGGGGGAGGAGGGTGAACTGCACAGAGGAAGTTGTGAGGGAGATAATGACTGTTTGCCTGGCTCAGACATGAAAGGGCTGACCGTGCACATGGTGTCATTAGCCCCAGACACCTGGCCAACCCCGGGGCCAGGCCAGCGGAGAGGGGGCCCTCACTTGTTCCCCCAGCCTTGGCTTTGCTTACCTGTGTTCGCCTCCAGTGGACCCTGCACCCCATTCCAGACTGCTCCTGCTGCCCTACCTAGCTGGCTCCTGGAGCCTCAGGTCCCAGGGACAGACCCTGTTCAGTGGCTGGTGGACCCACAAAGAGGTAGTACGCAGGACCTGACAGGCTAACAGATGAGGTGAAGTGATGTAGGGTCTGGGAAGCTCTGTGTCTCCTCTTTCCTCACAGTCTTGTGGTCCTTCAAGGTGACCTGTTGCCCAACCTCACATGAGATGGTCAGTAGATCCGGCTTGGGCTCAGGTAGATGATCCCTAGCAACGCTGTGGGGAAACTGCCCCTCCCTGGAGCCCGCAGACCCTCCGTGTCCTGTCTCAGGGATGACTCTACCTCGGCACTTCCTGTGTCCTTGGCACCCTGCTCTCCTTGACCAGTTAACCATTGATGACATCGCTAAACGTTTCTCAGGCCTCCCTGCCCATGGCCACACCTTGCCTACCTCTGACTATGCTCTCACAAGGTCCTAGTCTCACCTCTAGCTACATCAATCCCTATCCTAGCAGCTCCCCAAATTGCCCTGGCTCCCCACAGCTCTGACCCCTCTTAGGCCTGGCCATCATGGGAAATTTGAACACCACCTCGTGCTCAGGGCTCCACCTTTTCCCACTCAGTCCCCTCTTCCTGGGACCTCCCTGCCCTGAATTGGCCACTTGGGTCATCTTTGGGTCCTTCAAGATCCCACCTCGATCCTGCACCCCTAGTTCACTGACCCTCCTGTGAGAATAGACGGGGGACACCATTTACAGGAGTCACCTCCCATGGCTCCTCTGGGGGGTCTGCATGGAAGGTCCAGGGAGAAACCAATTCAGAAGGGGGAATCTAGCTGAGTCAGAAGTGGGATTTCCCAACCTGGACCTTGGGGAGATGTGATGGTGTGGGTCCGGGATGCTTCTCTTTCCTGTCAAGGTCTCTGGCTCGAGGAACAAACAAAGTCAGGAGGTCATACCTGGTATGACTCAGGTGGGGCCCAGGTGGACCACTGCAGTCCCCCGTCCCCAGACCCACCTATGAGACTCCTATGTAGATGAAGGTGTGGGTACACACAGCCCTTCCACCCTGGCCCTGAGAACCTCTGGTGTATATTTTACAGAGGAGCACTTTCAGACATGGAGCATTCTGGCTCAACCTGGCTCAGGTCCCCCTATGGGAGGCCTCTCTGGCACTGGGCCCTGCTCTCCTGTCTGTTGGCTGACACCCTGAGGCAGATGGCGTCTATGAGTCTCTGTAGCCACCCCCAACTGAAAGTACTTCTGGGGCAGCCCAGTGGTGCCCCTAATTCCCTGAGGAACCCTCCCCACCTGCAGGGGTCCAGCAAGGTCTGGAGGTCAGCTGGTCCCATGTGTCATTGTTAGATACTGTCCAGTCAATTCTGACCCCTAGCCACCCTCTGCAGAACACAGTGAAGCACTGTGGCTAGTCCTGTGCCAGCCTCACACTTGTGTGTTTCAGCCCATTATTGCAGACACTGTGTCAATCTGTGTTTTGGGGGGTCTTCCTGTTTTTCAATGACCCTCTGCTTTTCCAAGCATGATGTCCAGGGCTAATTCTCACTCTGTGAGCAGGAACATGTTGGTTAGTCTATGGCAGGTCATGGAAAGGCTATGGCCAAGGTGAGTGGATCATCTGGCCAGGAGCTGGGTTGGTTTGGTGCCAGCCTTGGTAGGATGTGATCTGGACCCTGGAAGGTCCCCGAGGAGTCTGAGCAGGAGGCTCGAGCAGCCCAGTACTGAGAAAAGGCAGGACACAGTCCAGGGCCCAGGGACCGGGCCCTGTGAGCAGCTGACCGGGTAACTGCTGTGCCTGACACTTGCAGCTGGTACTTCAGTGGGATCAACAGGACAGAAGCCCAACAACTGCTCCTGTCACCTGCCAACGCCCCGGGGGCCTTCCTCATCCGGCCCAGCGAGAGCAGCCGTGGGGATTACTCATTGTCAGGTACACTGTGTGGCCCCTCGCACCCCTGACCCTGAGACCCTGGAAAGCTCTTGACCAGCAGGACTCACCTACCAAGGACTGGACTGTAAGCATGCAGATCATTTCCTGTCCTTGTGATTTCACTCACTTTCTTTCACGTGCTCATTCATTCACTTACTCACTGGCTCATTCACAAATTTCTTCACTCGTGTATTTATTAATTTGCTGATTCACTTACTCACTTTTTTCACTCATCCCTTATTCATTTGTTCATTTATTCACTAGTTAATCAATTCACTTATTCATTATCTAGTTGTTTGCTTATTAATTCATCCATTTTCTCATCCGTTCACTCACTCATGTGTTCTTTCATTCAATGAACCTGTTGAGCTCAGCTGTATACACACTGCCCTCAGGATCTCAGGCCCCTCACACTGCCCCTGGTTGGCAGCTGTCTGCCCTCCCTCTGAAGACATGAACCAGACCACTCAGGGGGCCATGCATGATCTTATGTGTTGGAGGTGGTGGGGGTCTGGGTAGGCAGGACACAGTCATGACACGGTGTCTATCTCTCACCACCCTAGTCCGGGCTCAGGCCAGGGTCTGTCACTACCGAATCTCCACCGGGGCCGAGGGCAGCCTCTATCTGCAGAAGGGCCGTCTCTTCCCCAGCCTGGAGGAACTGCTTTCCTACTACAAGGCCAACTGGGAGCTGATTCAGAATCCACTGCTGCAGCCCTGCGCACCCCAGGTACGCTCGCTGGCTCCCTCAGGCCCGCACTGACTTCCTCCTGCTGTCCTCTCTCCCTGGCAGGGTGTGAGCCCCAGTTCTGGGGCAGGGGGCTCATGCTGAAAGGGCATGCTGGAGTCTGGCCAGGACGGAAGCTGTGGGAGGAGACACTGATGTGGGGCGTCCCTATCTCTCAGATCACTCCAAGGCGCCACCCTGTCTTTAATGGTTCCTCCTGTCTTTAATGACAGCCCGGCTTGCAGAGTAATGATTGTTTGTGGACGGATGTCCAGTTGGGCAAAGGGGCACTGAGGTCCCTGAGGCACTGGGCCAGGCAGTGCTTAGGTCAGCACCTTGCCCCTTTAGTCCTGCTGGAGTGGTGTGAGCTGGGGACTGAAGGTGAGGGCCTCCCAGGGTTAACGGAAGGCAGGGCCCTGGCTACTGCTCACAACCCCCACCTCGCGACCCTTCTTCGGCCGGCCGTGCCCCTCTTCTAGGGCGCACAGGCAGAGGCACTGAGCCCTCCCCGACCTGCAGAAACTCTCGGAGCAGGACGAGTGGGAGCGACCGAGATCCGAGTTCGCCCTGCGGAGAAAGCTGGGCCAGGGTTACTTCGGGGAAGTGTGGGAAGGATTGTGGCTGGGCTCTACGCCAGTGGCCATCAAGATCATCAAGTCAGGTGGGTGGACCTTCGGGTCCCTGGAGTCCTGGCGGCGGGGGCGGGGCGGAGCGCGGCTGCGAACCTTCAGCGGTGCCCGCCCCCGCAGCCGACATGAAGCTGGCAGACCTAGCCAAGGAGATCCACGCACTCAAGAGCCTCAGGCACGAGCGGCTCATCCGGCTGCACGCGGTGTGCTCGGCGGGGGAGCCAGTGTACATCGTCACCGAGCTCATGCGCAAGGGCAACCTGCAGACCTACCTGGCCAGTGAGTGTCGCCGCTCTGCGCAGCCGTCCTCTCCATTCCCCAACACCCCACCCTAGATCAGTTATAAGCTGCCCGCCCTGCCCTGGCCCCGCCCCTCAGCCCCTAGGCCCCTCGACTTTGCCCTGCCCCAGGACTCAGTCCCCAGGTTTGGCCCGTCCCCAGGTTCCAGTCCCGCCCCATTCCCACCTCCGCAGCAAGGCCCTGCCCCATCCTACTCACACTTCTTTCAGCCTGGACACGGGGCCTGCGACACACCCTCAAAGGTGTCCCAACTTCTAGTCCCTGCCTGTCGCCTGTCTTCACTTCAACCCAAGATCCCGCCCTCCCCAGGCCTACCTCACATGGTTCTGCTCCCAGACCCTCTCCACTTAGCTCTCATGTCCCCAGGCCAGAGTCTCCCCTGACTCCCTTCCAGGTTCCACAGGGCTGTGAGGGGACTGCAGACATTGGGCCTCAGGCCAAAGGGTGGCCATGTTTAGAGGTCCAGACTGAGTTTTGTGGAAAGGCCGGGTGGGGGGGTTGGGGGTGAGCCCATCGGGCCACCCACCTCTGTATAGCTCTGCCCATGGGCCTCCCCACTTTGAGTCTTCTTTGCCTCTGGATTCTTGAAGACTGTGCCGGGTTACTGAGTAGCGGGCCCCACCTGCTGCATCACTCCATGAGGGTCCTCACATGCCTACCTTGATGGTCTTGGTGGGTGAGGGAAGGAGGCAGAGGGTCAAGTGATACCTTCCCCTGTGCCCTCAGGTCCTGAGGGCAAGGCCCTGAGCCTGATCCACCTGTTGAGCTTTACCTGCCAGGTGGCTGAGGGCATGGGTTACCTGGAGGAGCGGCGCATTGTGCACAGAGACCTGGCCGCCAGGAATGTGCTAGTGGACGATGACCTTGCCTGCAAGGTGGCCGACTTTGGCCTGGCCCGGCTGCTCAAGGTCAGTATGGCCTGAGACTCAGGGTGGCCTGTGGGGAGGGTCCTGTTTCACCTACCTCCCCAGATCTCTCCCCTTCCCCCAGGACGACATCTATTCACCGAGCAGTGGCACCAAGATCCCTGTCAAGTGGACAGCACCCGAGGCCGCCAACTACCGAGTCTACTCCCAGAAATCAGACATCTGGTCCTTTGGTATCCTGCTCTTCGAGGTCTTCACCTACGGCCAGTGTCCGTATGAAGGTTAGAGGACACCCTAGGAGGATGCAGCCCAAGGGACTAGGCATAGCCTGCTCTGGTTGCTCATCTGAGGGAAGAGGCATGGTCCTGCCTGGGATACAACCTGAGGGAGGAGGCATACCGGCTCAGTTAGACAGTTTGTCCGGTCAGTTTGGGAGCAGGTGCGCACTGTGACCTTGGACCTGCTTATTGGTCCCTTCCCCAGGAATGACCAACCACGAGACTCTGCAGCAAATCTCGCGGGGGTATAGGCTGCCGCGCCCGGCCGCCTGCCCCGCAGAGGTGTATGCACTCATGCTGGAGTGCTGGAAGAGCAGCCCGGAGGAGCGGCCGACCTTTACTGTGCTGCAGGAGAAGCTGAGTGCCAGCTACAGACGCCTCCACCTGGCTCTCACGTGACAGATCACCAGTGCCAAGGCCCCAGCCCTCCCTGTGGGCAGCTCCTCCAGACTGTAAACTTGTATATTAATGCCCACTGCTGGGAACTGGGCCTTCTGAGCTGATGTGCACACACATGCATGCATGTGACAGGCACACAGACTGTACTCTGGTCTCGCACACCACGCAGATGGTCAACACATGTCCTCTCCCCCAGCACAACCTGTGTCCCTGGTGTACCAGGGACGAGCTTGGCACAGAAAGGCCCTGATGGAGTCTGAGCCTATACATGCCCGGGGGTTGTAGACAGGAGGTTGGGATCCCACAGGGCAAATAAAGGACACCGTCACAGAGGCTGTGAATGAGCCCATGCACACATTAACCAACACCTAGTGAATATTTATTGCCTGACTCAGACACACAGCCCTCGGCCCCCTGAACCCAGGATGCGGGGGCACTATCATGTCTCTCCTGTGTAGGGTGAGCAGAGGCGGGAGAGAGCAGGTCCCAGGTGGGTATTAGCAGGCCTGGTGGAGGCTGTGGGGTCTCAGATGACTCCAGTCTTCCAAAGGGCTCATGCAGCTACGGGAATCACCCTTCTCAGCAGCAGAGAAAGCAGATTGGATGAGGAGTAGGGGCTGGAAGAGGCCAGGCTAGTGTGAAGTGCGAGTTGGCTCGGCTACTGTCAAGGGTAGAACCAGAGGGTTTGCCCACTAGTTACACCTTGGCCTTGTCCTGCAGCTCTGGCCTACTGGGTGGGTCTTGGGGTCTTCCTCAACACAGAATGGCAATGGCAGGGGAGAGAGCTTTCTGGAGGCCAAACTGGGAGGGGAGAGACAGGGAGCTAGGACTTGGATAACTTGTGTTCTGGGATGTCTCAGACTCCACAAGCTGAACAGGTTTGGCATTCCTAGGCCTTGGGGTGGTGCCGGGAACTTTTGTCTCTTGAAGCTTGCCTGCTTCCTGGTCTGAGATACCAGCATTCCAACTTTGAATTTCAGAAGGAAGAGAGCCCACTGGGCCTCATTTCTCCCTCAGTAAAAAGGGATTCACATAAGAAGTTACTTGTGGGTGTTCTCTGGGATGACTTGGACAGCTCCCACCCCGCCACACTTTCTGACCTGCCTGCCTCCTGCAGTCACCTGGGGTGGGTGGGAGCTCCCTGGGTTGGATGATGTAGGATCAGCAGGGAGGTGGGGGCCCATCAAGGATGTCCTTAGGGCTGCGATGGGAGCAGAAAGACACCCAGGTGAAGGGGCTGCTGGGTAAGAGGAAGCAGGCATGTTCAGGAATGGAAGGAGGTGGAGGGGGTGTGAAGAGATGGGAGGGACAGACAGAGGGCATGGAGGACTGGACCTTGATCCTGTGGCCATGGGGCTGGGCACAGGTGGGAGGAGCAAGGAAGGGGAACGGTCTTATCCTGGGGGTCCTTTCAGGTACATTTCCTGTCGGGATGCCCCTTGTTTCCTGTGAGTAGTACACCTTTCTGAAGCCAAGGACACCCCCAGTACACACCCTGGGGCAGGCTTTCCTGCATTGACCTCTCAGGGGACCCTGAGTCTCCCAGCTGCCTCTTCCAAGAAGCCTTCTGGTCCAGCCTACATCCACCTACCCTGCCAGTTGTATGTGTCTTATCTGCCAGCTACCTGGACTCTGGGCAGGGGAGGGGAGGTGCCGATGAGGGCCTTGGCTCAGGCTGACCCTATATTCAGAGCCCCTCTATTTTCCTCCAACCCCTTTCCACCCTGCAAGTTCTTCCTGCTAGCCCACCATGGCCTCCCCTGCCTCCCCTCTGGCTGCTCTGTTCCCTTGACTGAGCTGATCATAGGCACAGAAGAGCCAGCAGGGGGTAGTCCTGTTAGCACCTTGAGGTGAGGGAACTGTCAGAGCAGCTGGTTCTCTGGAAGCCCTGAGGTCCACCCCAGGTCTGCGTGGGGCTGTCTCTGGTCTTGTGATAGGAGTGACGGTCCACAGACCACTTCTCCCCTCCTCCCCGGATGCTGCAGGCCTCCACCTCACCTGTCACTCACACCCCAGTGCCAGCTGCTAACCCTGGCCATTGTGGCAGGGTTCACTGTAGTGTCCCTTCATGGCCAGTCAATGGCTACTCTGGGGGGCCTCTTTCCCATGAAGAGGTGACAGTGGGCAGTACAGGCTTGGTCTGGCTCGATGTGGGCACAAAGACAGGTAGGAGCTGGGGTGTGGCTGGCCTAGCTGCCTCATCAGGAAGAAATGGGAGGACCCATGACTGGGCAGGAGAGTTTGTCAAGGAGAGTCCTGCCCGCCCACCTGCCCTGGTGCCTACAGGCACAGCGTCTCTGCTGGGCCAGGAAGCTCGTCCACAATGATGTCGTGGGACCCAGTGCGCTTGTATGTGAGCCTCTGGGACTTTGAGGCCCGAACAGCCGAGGAGCTGAGCTTTCAGGCAGGGGACCTCTTCCACGTGACCCGGAAGGAGGAGGAATGGTGGTGGGCTACAAGACTGGATGCAGCAGGCAAGGACCTGGCTCAGGGCTACGTGCCCCACAACTACCTGGCCGAGAAGGAGACGGTGGAGTCAGAGCCGTGAGTGTCCTACTGACAGCTGAGTGTACAGGACACTGTCCCACAGTGCTCAAGGACTGGGACAGGGCTGAGTCTGGACAGTCCCACCCCATGTCCTGGGGGCCAGTCTGGGCTTAGGGGTCTGAGTGGGAGGCCTGGGGTGAACACGCAGCCCCTGCCCTGGCTCCGAGCTCAAGGACATACAGAGGACTTGGCCCTAATTCTAGATTCCTCCTTAAACCATGGGAGGAGCTGGCTGTGCAGTTTGCTAGGGTGCATCTCCCGGTGGTGGAGGCTGAGGAGGGGGTGAGTTCTGTCCTGGGTTCACTCCATGTCCCTTTGCGGTTAGGGCTGTGCTGCCAGGACCCAGATGGACCCAAGGGGGCTCTGGGGCTGGCCCAGTACCTGGGTCTTCCTGGAAGTCCGTGTAGGGGCAGGGCTGTTCCAGACAACTGAAACCTGCCCCACGACCTAGTTACAGGGGTGGAAGCTGTGGGACACGCCTCTCTTGAGGAGTGTGGTGAGGATGTAGGTGGCTATGGGCATCTGCTCACAAGGTGGTAGCTTGATGGTCAGCTGGGGGCACCAGAGAGAGTGGGCCCCCTGCCTGAAAGTGCTCACGGTGACGTGAGGTTCCCACTCCACAGCCCCGTGGTCAGGTCTCTCTGAGTGGTGTGGTCATTTTTCTCCTGTGCCCTGTGACCCCACACTGGCCCTGTGACACCCTGTCCTCAGTTTACCATCTGTTGATGAGGTTGCTGCAGTGCGGGTGGAGTGGGCATTTTCAGCAGCGAGTGCAAAGGCCTTGAATACCTCTGAGGAGAGGAGGAGGGTGACAGGAGGCGTGAGGGGTAGGTTTGCTGGATCTGACCCTCTGATGGCATCTGAGGCACCAGGGGGTAGGGCAGAAGGGAACAGATATTCCACCCTGCAATCCATAGTCTAAAGTACACCAACACCCTTGAGGTGGGTCACCCTGTGTGTTCTCAAGGGGTCAGAGGGGAGCTCCGCAGGTCCCAGACACACCCACTCTCCTACTCTGAGTCTGCCACCCTGTGCTTGGCCTCTTGGTGGGCTCAGGTTTTGCAGCAGCCCCACATTGATGACCTGCCCTGGGTTGGGGGACTGCTAGAAGGGGGTGGACAATGCCTGCTCTCCTCCTTCCAAATTGCTGGGGCCTTTCCTGGTGTCTGTGATGGATAAAGAAGAGGCCTCCATGCAAGGGGCAGTATAGGAAGGTAGGCTCAGGTTGGGGCTGGTGGTCCACGGAACTGAAGGTCAAGAGCCAACAGCTAAGGGTTGCTAGGATTTGGGGTGGGTGGGGTGAGCAGGCCTGTAGTCATGGTTAACCTCTGGGAGACTAGGGTGGGAACAGACTCAGGGCTGGGCCATGGTGGTAGGGCCGAAGGACTGGGAACTTGGATGCCTGTTTCTGCAGGTGGTTCTTTGGACGCATCTCTCGATCTGAGGCTCTGCACCGGCTCCAGGCTGAAGGCAATGAAACAGGGGCTTTCCTGGTGAGGGTCAGTGAGAAGCCGGGCGCCGACTACGTCCTCTCAGGTACAATACCCTCCCCTGTGTCTTTGGGGACCCTCCCTTGGGAGGCATAGGAGGTACCTTTCTTTGGTGGACTGTATATAGGACAGTTTGGTGAAGGGATGCAATGGGGAAGGAGCCCTAGTGGTCTTTCCTGCCCTCCTTCCCTGGCCTGACATGAAAAGGCCTGGTCAGCATCTCTGCTGGAGCAGGTCCCCACCCAGCTTTGCAGTCAGCAGCTGTTGGCACTGTGGGCTGGGATACCAGACGAGTCCAAGGGTGGGCCGGGAGGAGCCCTCGGCCTGATGCTGTCTCATGTGTGTCCCTGGCCCCAGTCTGTGACAAGCAGACTGTACGGCACTACAAGATCTGGAGGCATGGCGAGGGCCGATTTTACCTGAATGAGGCTGTAACGTTTCCCAGCCTGTGCGAGCTTGTGGACTATCACCGTACCCAGGTTCTGTCCCATGGCCTGAAGCTGACGAAGCCCTGCTGGAAGGTAGCTTTGTCCACCATGCCCACCTTCCCACCCACCACAGCCTGACCCCGGTCCTTCCCATGGTGTCCTCTCTGGAGACCGTTGGGGACCTGCAATGACATGGTTACCCAGGGGACACAGAGTGGAGTTCACTTCTGGAGAGGTTGGTGGGCAGGGTTGGTGAGTCCTGATGATCCACTAGGGGGACATGCAGTGGTTCCTGCAAAGGAAGAGGGTGGGGATGAAGGGAATATGGAAGGCGGGATTAGGAGCGGTGGGAGGCGGGGCTAGAGGGATTAAGGCGGGGCTGAGGTGGGTGGGAGGAGGGGCCGAGAGAAAAAGGGAGGCGTGGCTGAGAGGGGAGACGGAGGCGTGCTGTGGTGGGACTGGAAGCCGGGCTGGAGCGGGGCTGGGAGGAGGGTCTGAGCGACGTGAGGCCGGGGAGGGGGGGGTTGAGGGGGAATGTGGGGCGGGGCTTAGAAAGGGGCGGGATGCGGGGGCTGAGGGATGGTAGACCGGTTTGGGGGAGGCAGGGATGAGAGGAGCGGGAGGCGGGGCTGATAGGGGGTCGGAGGCGGGGTGGCGTCCCCCTGCTTGGATCGGTGGTCGGCTCTGCGCCTCTTGGTACTGGCGGGAGTTGGGGCGCAGAGCGGGTCCACAACAGGAACGAGGTTGTCCCTGAGAACCAGGCTTGTGCCAGACACTCAGACCCTTCATTGGAGGAGAAGCCAGGGGCCCCTGGAGAGTTCACAGCAGGCCAGTCCAGAGGCTGAGTGGGACAACCAGACGCCAGGTGCCCTCCCGGGCCCCCCCCTCACTGCCTGCCCTCCCATGTCCCCGCAGCATGAGCCCGAGCCGCTGCCCCACTGTGACAACTGGGAGAGGCCACGGGAGGAGTTCACGCTCTGTCGGAAGCTGGGCTCTGGCTACTTCGGGGAGGTCTTCGAAGGGCTTTGGAAAGAGCAGGTCCGAGTAGCCATTAAGGTGATTGCTCGAGGTGAGTGGGCCTGAGGGGGGCTCTGCGCCTGGCCCACCTGGCCCCCACAGCCCCCGTGCTGCCCCACTTTGCAATCCTTCCTTAGAATGCTTCTGGACTTATACCCAAATGCATGCATTCTAAAAGGAAGTTTAAAATTCTTAGCATTAAGGGAGAGCCACTAAAACACAGAGGTGGCTGGAACCTGAAAGTCGGTGCTTTCAGTCGCCTCAGGTTCAGAGCTCAGGGGCCCTGAACTGTTCTGACTTAAGGGGGTGTTAACCAATGGCGGGGGTCAGTGGTGCCCACGTGGTGTAGTGAGATTACATGGTGGCACACAGACCCCTTTTTGTCACTGCCAGAGGGGCTGGGGTTGCTGAGGGCCCAGGTTCATCCTGGCTCCATGTTGATGAGCAGCCACTGTGTGTGGTGGGGTGCTGGTGGGGTCTGCCCTTTGCCTTGGGGCCGCACCCACCGAGGCCACCGTCCGCAGACGACCTGCACCGGCACACATTCCAGGCGGAGATTCAGGCCATGAAGAAGCTTCGACACAAGCACATCCTGGCTCTGTATGCTGTGGCCTCCGTGGGGGACCCTGTGTACATCATCACAGAACTCATGCCCAAGGGGAGTCTGCTGGAGCTCCTGCGTGGTGAGCTGGAAGCTGGGGGCACCCCCAAATTAGCAAGCACCCCACACAAAACAGCTGGGCCCCTGACGTGGTTCTCAGTGGAAGGCTGACTAAAATATCCCATGGCCCATCCCCATCTGCTCCTTCTGGAGGTGTGAGAAGATATGGGGACGTATGAACAAGAGGCCGTGTTAGGGCACATGTCTGAATGTGCATGGGAGGATGCTGATGCCAATGTATGTGTGTCTGTGTGAGTTTGGGTGTATCATACACAGGGCACTTGGAACTCTGAGTGTGAAAATTTTCACTTGATAAACTTAATCTTCTCAAGCCCTTTCCCATGATATGAAATGTCCTTCAATAATGAAAGTTGTGGGTAGGCTGTGTCGGTTTCCCCTGTTGCCTGATGCTAGACTCTGGAGGTTTTCAGAAATGTCAACACTACCGTGATGAATGTCTCTGAATGAAATCTTTGCCCAAGTACCATTGCTTCGATCTGTTCCAAACTTAACCAGGCCAACTGCCCTTTGCTCTGCCCAGTCCCTGAGTCCACAGAACAGGCCGTGGAGCTGGTTTTGGGCTCTCCCCAGATGAGCCTGATCTGCCCCTGCCACCACTTCAGGACCTGGTCCCTTTCCCTCCTGCCACCATCCAGCTGAGCCTGGTGCCCCCTGTCCCAGTTGAATCTACTCTTCCTCCCCTCGTTGGGTCTGGTACCCCCCAGCTGAGCTTGGCCCATCCTTGTCTCACAGACTCTGACGAGAAAACCCTCCCTGTCTCGGAGCTGGCGGACATTGCATCTCAGGTGGCCGAGGGCATGTGCTACCTGGAGTCGAAGAACTACATCCACCGGGACCTGGCAGCCAGGAATATCCTCGTGGGGGACAACAACATTTGCAAAGTGGGGGACTTTGGGCTGGCCAGGCTCATCAAGGTAGGGCTCGAGAGTTTGGCACGTCTTCTGTACAGAGCTCAGCTGAGCTGGGGGCTTCCTGCGACAGGGAAGGCTAGAGAGAGGGCTGTGAGGACAGGCCAGGGATTCTCGCGAGGCTGCTGACAGCTGAAAGGGCAGTGTCTGAGCTTAGAAGAGATCAGCAAGGGAAGGGGCGCCTGGTGAAATGGTGGGGTGGGAGCTCAGCAGGGCCAGGATGCAGTGGGCATGGGAGGGTAGGGACTCTAGCCCAGGGCAATGGTCTGCCACTCAATGACTCCTTCATTGGTTCAGTACCCCTGTGCTGGCTGCTGGACACTCAGTTGGGGGCATGGTGGGTGCTGTCTGTGCTCAGAGGCAAAACCCTCTAGGTCTACTGCTCCCATGCACACAAAGAAGCAACATTTATTTTGGGGGATTTACAACACAAAAGTCAAAAGAGCCACACCAGGAGTCCCCTTCATGCCCTGTCTTCCTGTTGTTTAGATCCAAGTTATCTGACCTGTCTCTGTAGAACTCCTAAATCCGTGGCCACAGCGCCAGTGTTTGCTCTAGGATGACAAGTGGTTGTACACAGGCACCAGATACTCCCATCAGCCTCGCTGGTGTCTCCATGAGCTAGTGATGAACATGGGTCCCAAGGGTCTCCACTCCTGGGAGCCACCATCCTGACTGATGGGCCTCGTGTTGGTCCATCTTTGAGTCCTCTGAAATAACCCAGGAAAGTCACATATTTCCTAACCCTGGACACTCAGTGCTACCCCCCTCTCAAGAATACCCCAGAATCTAAGGAAGGCAGCGCCTCTGGCCCAGCATGTCTCCAGGTTGTGTAGCCACGGGGGGTTGCTGGAGTGGTGTTGGCATTTGTCTATCTGTAGGAGGACATCTACCTGTCTTATGACCACAACATCCCCTACAAGTGGACGGCCCCTGAGGCGCTCTCCCGAGGACATTACTCTACCAAGTCGGACGTCTGGTCCTTTGGAATTCTCCTCCATGAAATTTTCAGCAGGGGTCAGATGCCCTATCCAGGTACTGGACCCCAAGGTGCCCCAAATGGTGAGAAGGACAGGAGGGGGTAGTATGGGGTGCAGGGTTGGGTCCCTCAGCTCGATGAGGCAACTCCCACAGTGGCCTCAGGGGGAGATGTTGTATCTGATGGCACACCTGCCTGTTGAGCCAGCATCCGGGAGTGTCCAACCCGTCCCCAGGCCTCAGGGCTGAGAGGACCTAGGCTTGTCTCCCGGGAATGCTTAGTAGCAGCAAAAATAGGGGTGCGGACTTACCGAGGTGGGGGTGGGGTGGGGAAGCAGCACCAGCAACTCTTGTCCGCAGGCATGTCCAACCATGATGCCTTTGTGAGGGTGGACGCCGGTTATCGCATGCCCTGCCCCCCGGAGTGCCCATCCACCGTTCACAAGCTGATGCTGGCCTGCTGGCAACGGGACCCAGAGCAGAGGCCCTGCTTCCGAGCCCTAAGGGAGAAGCTCTTCAGCTTCACCAGGTACGAGAACCCATTCTGAGTGTGTTGGGGGCAAGGGGCTGGCGACCAGGACTTTGGACCAGAGGACACAGTTGTCCAGGCACCAACGGTTTGCTGGAAGAAGCTGTAGCTTTGGGACCATGCTGGGGGTACGGCGTGCTCGCCCACCCCGCCTTGCGTGCTAGCTCCTGCCCAGCAGTGCCAACACTCTAGGACTGCTGGAACTCTCTGGGACCCGGTAGGCTTGTCCTCGGTCCTGAAGCACACCAGCTCAGGACAGGGCAGGTGCCTCCTCTGCCAGGTTCTGGCCCAGGTGGAAGGGTGCCTCTCCTGCCTTCCTGGACATCAGAGACAACTATGTGTAGGGGCATGGACCACACGAGGCCCCTCTTCCGGAAACCAAGGGGCTGTGTGGTGGGAGGACACTATAGTTTCTGCTGCCAGGGCCGTTGTGAACCTCAACTGACCACTTGTGAACAGACTGTGGGGCTAAGGCCACTCTGAGGAGTACCCATCTGAGGGGGCAAGGTATCTCCCACCTGGTCTTGGAATTGACAGCCAAGCAGGGGAAACAGCTGTGGGGGCGGGGCGAGCCTTTCCTGCACCTGGACACTTTCTGTGGATTTAGACAGTGGGGGGAGGGGGGGCAGGCTGGATGCCCCCTCCCTTCCCAGGCCCCCTGGCCTCACCCCTTCAATACTTTCTTGGGGCCCCTGGCACCCACTAGATCTGGGCCAGCCCGTGGGGGTCATGAGGTTTGACACCAAGCCAGGGATATGAGGTGATGCCCAGGGGACTGGCACTGTTGGTCATCTAAGCTCATGAGCACCCAGTGATCACCTACAGGATCCCGTGCCCACTCTTCTTAGCACTCTGTGGTTCGGATCAGGACCATCCCCGCTCCCCCAAGGCTGGTCTCTGGCAGGAAGGGCAGTACTGGGAAGGCAAATATCTCTTCCTGCCTTAGGCAGCTGGCCATAGAGCACTACCCAGGGCTGGAGTACCCCACAGGGGGCTCACCAGGGTACCAAGGCACCAGGTCCCTTTGGTTGAGGGCACAGTCAGCTCCTCAGGGCAGGGAACGCTCCACCGAAGCAATGGGGTTATCACCTCCTGAGCACAGTGCTCCGCTAAGGGGGCATTCTTATCCCTGCAAAGGACCTTGTCAGATGGAGTTTGGGAGGGCTCGAGTTAATTTTCCCAACATGCCTTTGGGGTGACACAGGCAGACATAGCTAAAGGGCCCTAACAGGCTTGCTCACACGCACATGCACACACACAGTAGACCCTGTAAGAGGCTTGCTCACACGCACGTGCACACACACAGCAGGCCCTGGGTAATGCAGGCACATACATCACAGGCTGCTGGCGGCTTTGAGTTTATTTCCACTCGGTGCAAGGCAGACGGTTATGGGGTGCTGGGAAAGCTGGCGTGTGATTGGACAGTAAAGAGTGGGGTTCTCTTGACTTCTTTTTGGTGTTTTGCTTTTTTGATATAAAAAGAATCAACCACTTCTCCACTTAGGTCAGCCTGCCTAGTCTACGGGGTGGCACAGAGTGGGGGGGCCCTGGCGCCTGGGGAAGCTGTAGTGAGGTGAGCCTTCAGGAGGGGCCTGGCGCTGATGGTGTTGGAGGGCTGCCAGGCGGCTTTCTCATGGTACCCGGGGCCAGGTCACAGGTGATCACGCCGTTGGAGACCTGGGGGGATCCCGAGCGCTCTGGAGACTCCAACACAGGGGCCATGAATGGGACGGTGGTCTTCCCGAAGAAAAAGCTTGCCCACCAGTGGCCAGGGTCCGCCTTGGGTAGCCCTGGGTGGTGGGGGATCGCTTCCCCGGGGTAGTCGGCACTTCCGCAGGAGCTGTTACTGGACGTGGACCCCAGGCGGCCTGGGGAGGAGAGGCTGGTCAGCAGAGCAGGGCCGTGGGTCCAAAGGCCTTTCAACCCGACAGTAAGAGGGGCGGTGCTAGTGACCATTAATTAGCAAGGCAAGGAGCTAGGAGTGTGCCAGGGGGCCAGGTTGGATGGGTCATGCAGCGGGCAAAGGGTCCTACTCACGCCGGTAATAGTCGTGGGTGGCCACGAGCGAGCCGCTGGAGGGGATGGCCGCCATGCTTGATGTCTGGTGGGAACCTGTGTCCCCGGGAGACCTGTTACCAGGGCACCCTTCAGGCGGAGCCCTCTCCACGGTGGGCGCGCGGCTCCGGGTTGTGGTCCGAGTCGGGCGGGGCTCCGGGCTCAGGCCCGCCTTCCTGCGCCGCCGGCTCCAACCAGTCCGGAGCGGTGGCGCGAGCGGAACAAAGGCTCTTTGTGGCGGGGCCGCCTGTGTCCCCGTCCCACCCAGCCCGAGCGGCCGACTACCCACGGGATTCCGACCCCGAGTCCCCTGTGCCGATCGGCCAGCCAGACCCCGAGGAGGCCCTGCGCTCCGGCCCGCCCACCCGGCCTTACCTCGGCGGTAATCCCTCGGGGCCTCGGCGCACGGTCGCTGATGGCAAGGCGCGGGGAGAGGGAAGGGGGCTAAGCTACCGGGCCCATTGGCACTGAAGACTGCGGAAGACCGCTTCACGACCGCGACGCGCGCGGGGTGTACGCACGCGCGGACGCTCCGGCATATATATACACGGCGCCGTTCGTACGCCACAGTGGGCGGGGCGGCCCCGGACCCACTCCCTCCACAACGCCCCACTCGATTGGCCTATCCCCGCCCACTACATCCTGGTCCCGCCCCGTGTCTGCCCCTTTGGCCTCGCCCCTCCGTACGCCTAGGCCCATCTCCTTTGCGCCCTGCGCCTCTCGTCCGTTCCCGCGGCCTTCTCTGCGAGGTGCAGGGCCTGGTCCGGCTGGAGGGAGCGAACCCAGGGTCGGGAGCTCCCCTGCTGCGTCCCGTCTCTCGCCTCACCCAAAGCCCCAACCTGCACTGAGCTGCGGGCATCCAGCTGGGGAGGGTGCGGGCAGAGGGGGCGCTTGTCTGAGGTTGAGACACCGCCCCCTGCTAGGAACACCCAGTTTGGGGCGGGACCCCGGAACCTGGCTCTCGTCTTAGCTGGTGTCTCAATTTGCGAGGCCTGATTTACTTCCTCCCCGGGCGAGAGCTTGGTAGGCAGAGCCCTCCTCCCGTGTGGCGTTGTGGTTTTCTTGTCTACACCTAATTTCTGCTTTTGACACCGGCTCTGGGGGAGCCTTTCCCCAAGATGGGAAGCTACTCCGGAAGTCCGGTCTTTTTCAGTTCCTTCTCGGTGGTTGGCCGGATCTGGCGGCACCCGTGGGGGCAAATCTGCAGACAATCCTCACACCTCAAAACCCTTGCAAAATTCCTGGGCACCAGTCCAACGCCCTCGTTCAGCAATAGGGGAAACTGAGGCCCCAGGAGGCAGGGTTTGGGTGACCCTTTGACAGGTTGGGTTGGGGGAGGAGGATGCAGACCTTGTGGCCGGGGAGGGAGCAGGGTTCAGAGTGAGTCGACCCAGGTAGGGGCCCTTCCTCCTAATATTCCTTCTCCACCTCCCTTCATCTCTTTCTGGATTTGGGGGGTGGGGGTGGGTAATGGGGAAGCACGGGCATTTCTGGAATGTTCCCAGCCACTCATCCAGCTGAAATTTCCGTGAGCTTCCCAAATAACCGTAAGGAGCTCTGGGAGCGTAGTGCTTACAAATCGGGCTGCTAATCTCAGGGTCAGCAGTTCGAAACTACCAGCTGTTCCTCGGGAGAAAGATGAGGCTTTCTGCCCTCGTAAAGATTTACAGCCTTGGAAACCCTGTACAGGGTCGCTGTGAGTCAGAACTGACTGGACAGCACTTAATAACCATAAGCAAGTAGAGTTTATGCTGGAAGTATAAGTTTTTATCAGCTTTCAAAAATTAATATGTCAGCTTAAAGAAGAAAAAACCACGTAATCATATCAAATGATTGAGAACAAACATTTGACAAAATTCAACAGTCATTCATGATAAGTATCACCAGCAAACTAGGAATAAAAGGAAAGTCTTTAATAAAAAGCAACTATGAAAAGCCTACAGCCAACTTCGTACGTTATTATGAAAGGCTGCCCCTCTCAAACCAGGAACAAAGCAGGGAGGGAGGTCTCACTACACTTATTTACTATTCATATTGGGAGGTTTAACAGTACAATAGGCAGGAAAAAGAAATATCAATTGGGAATGAAGAATGAAACCTCCTACTTGTAGGTTATTATTGTTAGGTGCCATCGAGTCGAGTTGGTACTGACTCATAGCGACCCTGTGCACAGCAGAACGAAACACTGCCGGATCCTGGGCCAACCTCACAGTTGTTGCCATGCTTGATTGAGTCCATAGATGCTGCTACCTGGTCAATCCATCTAGTTGAGGGTCTTCCTCTTTTTCTCTGACCCTCCACCCTACCAAACATATAAATTGGGAATGAAAAATAAAAAAAACTGGCCCTATTTTCTACATCATTATCTATGTAGAAAATCCCAAACCAAACAAAAGAAGCCTGTGGTGGTGGTGTTGAATTGGTTCTCCAAGGAGCAGCTGATGGGTTTGAACTGTTGACTTTGTGGTTAGCAGTCCAGTGCTTATCCTACAATGCCACACCAGGACTCCAATAATGAAGAAATATTAAAAGCTAATAAGCACATGAAAAAATGTACAATATCATTAGTTATTGGGGAACTGCAAATACACCACAATGAAATACCATATCATGCCTACTAGAATGACTCATGAAAAAGATGGAGAGTAACAAGGCTTGTCTTGGATGTGGAGAACTTGAAACCCTCAGACATCACTGCTATCAATGCAAGGCAGTGCAACCGCTGGAAAACAGTTTGGCAGCTGCTCAAAGGTTAAATATAGACTCACCATCTGACCCGGTAATTTTACTCTTAGATAGCTTCTGTCTTAGTTATCTAGTGCTGCCATAACAGAAATACTACAAGTAGGTGCTTGGAACAAAAACATTTATTTTCTTACAGCTTAGGAATCTCGAAGTTCAAATTCAGGGTGCTGGCTCTAGGGAAAGAAACTCTCTGTCAGTTCTGGGGAAGAACCTTGTCCCTTGATTCTTTGGTGATCTTTGTGTGGTCTGGAGTCTGTCTTCTCCCGTCTCGGCTTGCTCCCCTACCCTAATTTGCTCTTTTCAAATCTTAAAGGTAACACCCTCTTATATGGTTTCTTTCACATAACGAAGAAAACCCATTTCCAAATGGAATTATAACCACGGGTTTAGGAATTAAGATTTACAGCATGCAGTTGAATTTGTAACATCTACATAAGAGAAATGAAAGCATATGTTCATAGTAGCAATATCATAAAAAGCAAAATGTCCATCAATGGATGCTAAACAAAATGGGGACTATCTATACAATGGAGTATTATTAGGAAACAAAATAATGGAGTGCTGATACAAACTCCAACATGGATTAACCTTGAAAACTGTATACTGAATAAACGAAGTCAGACACAAAGACTGCATATTGTATGATTCCATTGAAGTGAAATGTCCAGAAGACAGAAATGGATTAAGTCATTGCTGTGGGCTTACGGTGGGCTGGGATGCAGAGTGGCTATGAAGTGGGGCGAGGTTTCTTTTTTGGATGGTGAAATCTACATGCTCATAATGTAAAAGTAGATTATAGCGATGGTGGTGCAACTATGTAAATATACTACAAACCACCACATGTATGCTTCACATGAGTGAAATTTGTGGTATACAAATTATATCTGAGTAAAAGGGTCAAAGACTTGAATAAGCAGCTCACCGAAGAGGATGTACCCACCAGCATGTGAAGAGCTCTTCCAGGGTCCGTGATGCGGCAGTGGCAGTATCAGAACTTGTCTAGATTCCTTACGGGTAAGAACTAGGGTCAGCCCAAAGCTGCTTCCTGTGAGTGGAGGTCAGACATTCCTCCACTCTCTAACCTTTTCACTACTTCTGATATGAGGCACTCTCTGCTTCTCTGAACAGTTTGATAATCCCTGACAATATCCACACAGAGTTTATGGACTATGTTCACAGCTAAATGGTTTATGAAGGAAAGAGATCAAGCTCAACTCCAACAGGGAATGAAGATCAGGAAGCATGTAGGCAGAGTGGAGAGCCCATTGGTCCCTTCTTCAGTGCAGGCAAGCAGGAATTCTCTAGGACACGCAGTCCTCCTCTCAGCCCCTGTCTGTCTTCAGCTTCCATGCCACTGGCCTTGCCACTGGTAAAAGACCCAGCTCACTGTCCTTAGAGGTCCAGCCCTTGACCAGTGTGGCAGCTCTTTTTTTTTTTTTTAAAGAACAAAAAAGGGACATTTATTTACAATGATTTCAAAATTTCAGATCTTGAAAAAAAAAAGACAATTCGTTTTGATATGGTGTTCAAACAAGCTTGTAAAGGATTGAAAAGAGATGGAAGCTGCCTTGAGAGATTTCAATCTTGTTCAGTTGTTCCTGACTTAGAACCCCAAACAAAATTTTTCTTTGGCAAACACAGAAGCAGAATTAATGTTTAAAAAGAAGCACTTGTAAACTGTTAAGCCAGAAATTTATTTTTAAACATTGTCTAGAAGTCAAAGAGAGATTAACTGAGGCAATTTAAATTCCCTTATGGGACAAATTTGGTATCTGTCTCTTGCTGTATAGCCTCCATTAACAATAGATACAAGAACTGTGCAACTGAAAAATCCGTTGTGCCGTTGCTTAGTTGTTTGTTTGTTTTTTAAGGTTTTTATTGTGGATTGAGTGAAAGTTTATAGGGCATATCATCAGTTTCACATTCAACCATTCATTTGACTTGTTTCATTACATTGATTATAATCCCTTCCATACATCATCATCATCAGTTAACAGTGTTTCTCTCTATCCTCTTTAGCTTTTTTTTTTTTTTTTTTGGTCGGGGGGAAACTTGTGTCAGCTCTTTTAGGAGGTTCCTCACCTCATGTCTCTTCTCTCTTCTTGCCTTTTCTCCTTTTTCCCCCTCTTTCTGAAAACTTTGTGGGATTGTCTGCATATATAATAAGCAAACTGCTTGTCAGTTTCAAAGCATGGTCTTCCTTTTTGTTGTTGTTAGGTGCCATCGAGTCGTGACTGACCCATAGCAGCCTTATGCATAGCAGAACGAAACACTGCCTGATCCTGGGCCAAC